CCCCCGAACCATCTCTTTTCTAACCTGAAAAGACCCGGACTTTTGGCCTTTCCTCCTAGCCCCCTCATTATCTTGGATGCCCTCCTGCAGGAAGTACCACTGAAGTTGGAGAAACGCTGCTTAGGCTGGAGGCAGGCTTTTTGGAGTATGGCTGGATATGCCCTGGTGGCTTGGAGCTGTGTCTGGCTTTCCCATCTCCATGTCCCCCAAGGATGTAGCACAAAGATTTTCCAAAGTGTCCATCTAGCATTAGGGGTAATATTGACTGACTGATTTGACAGCAGGTCTATGTCCCGCCTGGTATTTGGCTGCTACCAGGCGTCATTCTGTAGAAAAAGAGGTGCAGGAGCTCATTAGCATAACTCATTAGCATAACTTATTTGCATAGGCCACACCCCCTGACATCACCAGAAGTGTGTCAGAGGGCAACACCCACCGCTCAGGCTCCACTAGACTGTTTTAGATTGCTAGCTATGTTGGGGGGGAGGGGAACGTGCAGATCTGTCCTCGCAGAGGAGGGAGAGCTTGTGCCTGATTAAAACTTGGGCTCTGCAGCTTACCTGGCTGCTTCTTGCTCTGACTGAGGGCTGCTGGGAGCAGGGGGCGGGGCTTGTTGCATGTGCCCGCCCCCATGGTTCTTTACTGCCGGAGCTCCGCTCCTGCAGGAAATGACCCCTGGCTGCTACCCATTGCACTGACGACGTGCTGGATGGCCTTATAGCCATCTGAGAGGCAGTCCATGGAGGTAACAACCAGTGCTCCCTCTAAGCTGTGGAATCTTGTCAGCAAAAGTTCTACTCTGTGAGCTACTGGCATTAGAACTGTGAGCAAGCAATTTGGCCACTGCATAAATCAGTTTGCACTGGAGCCCTCCTTCCTGAGCGAAGATAGAAATGTGTGAGCCGGAGGCTAAAAAACTGTGAGCTAGCTCACACTAAGTCAGCTTAGAGGGGAACACTGGTAACAGCTCTCTAGGACCTGCTGGTGGACCTCCTGATGGCACCTGGTATTTTTGGCCACTGTGTGACAGAGTGTTGGACTGGATGGGCCATTACTTGATCCAACATGGCTTCTCTGATGTTCTTACGTTTTTGGACAAGGTGGGTTGACACTGGATGACCCCAGGTTCGCCCCAAGCACAGATTCCCTCAATCACAGCGGCAACAGCCAATGAAGAAACCTATGTTTTTTTTCCTATTCCTTCTTTCTTTCTGTATCCCTTATAATAAAAGATTCAAAATATTTTTTTTTTAAAAAAGAAACCTACTGTTTTCTGGAGGAAGAACTGGAACAGCCAATAGATTTCGTGCTCCTTCTCCACAAATAGCCTGAAGAGCAAAAGCATCTCATGGAAACCCTGCTGATATTCTGGGGGGGGGGGGAAAGAACCAAATGGATGAAACAAGCAACCAAAAAACAAAACCCTGATGTTCGCCTCCTTCAATCCTCCCTCAAAGCTAAGAACCAAATGGATGAAACGAGCAACCAAAAAACAAAACCCTGATCGTAGTCTCCTTCAATGCTCCCTTCAAGCTGGGGAGTCATTCTACTTTGTGAGCTCCTGGCATGAAAGTCGTGAGCGAGCCATTTGGCTACTGCATAAATTAGTTTGCTCTGGAGCCATCCTTCCTGAGCTGAGACGAGAATCGGTGAGCTGGAGGCTAAAAAACTGTGAGCTAGCTCACACTAACTAAGTTTAGAGGGAACACTGGTCTCCTCTGTTCTTTCCCATTTCCCATCACATATCTCTATAGCTTCTGTCTTTGCTCCAGTGACATTCTCCATACCAACCTGATGTCCCTGCGTAGGTCACAGCCTTAACTTCATCTCCCAGAAAACATTCCCTTTGTAGCCCAATGTATTGCCTTGAGGTTCAGTATCCTTCCAAAATTCTCATCCTGAGTTCTCCCCAGATATTGGAGATTTGAATCACCTGGTCTTCTTCCCAAACGAAGAATGCAATAGGAATTTCTCCACTGTTCTGTTTCTTGGTTCCAAATATTGTTCAGGGCTCTCTGCACGTGTGCAATTTGCCACAGCTTCCACTTCCTCCCATTCACATACATTTGTTCATCAACACGCATTACCAAAACACCGCAAAAAGAAAACTCTCCCAAGAGCAGTGGGCCTCAACACAATGTGCATCCAAAGAACCTTGATGCGATCTCACATCTCACTTTTTTTGCAGTATTTTAGCATTGTGTACATTCATGCTAGGTTGGCAGGAGCTGGACCTAGAGACGGGAGCTCACTCCGTCATGCGCAGGGCCGGATTTAGACTTGCTGAGGCCCTAAGGTACACAAAACCCAGAGGCCCCCTACTGTTTTAAGTTACATCAGCTGGTCTCAGAAAAATTTAAAATATATTCACCTTTTTAATATTTGAAATCATTTTTTATATTGTGTTTTTATTCAAGGCCCCATCAGATTGTGAGGCCCTAAGCTGTAGCTTATTTAGCTTATGCGTAAATCCGGCACCGGTCATGCGGCAACTCGGGTCTTGAACTGCAAGTAGATAAATAGGGACCACTTCGGTGGGAAGGGAACAGCGTTCCGTGCGCCTTGGTGTTTAGTCATGCCGGCCACATGACCACGGAAACGTCTTCGGACAGCGCTGGCTCTTCGGCTTGGAAACGGAGATGAGCACCGCAACCCTAGAGTCGGACTCGACTGGCTTTCGAGCAAGGGAACCTTTACCTTTACCTTTTATATTCATGCTGACAATGTAGAGGAGG